TTCCAGACATATGCATTATTACTAAACACAATATCCAATGCAAGAAAGCCCTAGGGCAGCATTGTTCCTAAGAGACCTTCATACTGAATGAGAGCTCAGAGCTGAGGAAGGGAGAATGCCTCTAGGCAGGCCGCTGATTAGCAGGGGTGTCTGGACACAGATAGTCCCCGATGCCAGCTATTAGTAATTATATTTTACAGATGAGAAAATGCATTTTCTATAGGTAAAATGGATTGTCTGAGGGTGACCTATCAAAGAGCAGAACCAGAGTGTTGATGGCTATTGCTTTGCCCTTGAAAGAATGGACTCTGTCTGCTCAGCAGGAGGCCCTGACACCCACGAAGGCCTGATGGCCATGCTTAGTGATATATTCACAGGTGCTGGGAATTAGTATGTTATCTTTGGAGAAGGCTACTGTTTTACCTATTACAGGACAGAGTAATAATAATAATAATAATAATAATAATAATAACAACAACAACCATTGTTTTAGAAATCGTGTTAGACTGGAGAGTTGGCTTAGGGGGTAAAAACCCTTGATATGCAAGCCCTATGATCTGGCTTTAATGCCCAAACCTGTGGTGGAAGGAGAGAATGGACTGCCAAAAGTTGCTCCCCCACAACCTCCACATGCACTCTGGCATGTATGTGCACATCAGTGTGTGCACATGTGAGTCTGTGTGTGTGCGCACAAACACACATCATAATACACTTAAATAATGATAAATAGTTGAAACTGTAATCTCCTTGAAGTAATTTCATTGTATGAGCATGGCTTCCTCTAGTGTGTCTGCATGAATTTTTGACAGTAATGCATGGGGCACACAGTCGAAAGGACTCACCCAGTTTTGTAGGAACCCTGGACTGGGCATTGATTCTAAGTGTATAAAAGTCTGTTCTTCAAGAGGATTCAATTTCTGCAGTTTTCCCATGAACCTCTGCCGTGTCCCATGTGGCTTGGGTCTAGAAACCGTGGTTAGGAGCAGTGAGGGAATAAACAAAAGTTACAGAGATACATGGAGAGTGAAGCTGTTGGTTGTGTTCTGCTACACATCTTGAGCTTGGTCCTTGTGGATAATGGCTTTGCCCATGAATCTAAGACCTTCACAGTCCTCAACAGGCCATGCCCATGTCAAAATACACACCAACTCAGGGCTTCTTCCTGTCACTACAGAGTTTTTCAATTTTCATTGCGTGTTTGGGCAGATGATTCTCCTCATGGCATTATCAGCTCTTTAGAGACAGGGAAATGTCTCCTTGACCTTATCCAGTGTAGTCAAGTCAAATAACTTGATGCACATTTAAAATAAATTTGCTACTTTATTAGCTGAGTTAAACAGGGTTAAACTGGTACCCCACTAGATTCGTTAAGATGTGGGAGGGGAATCTCAATGCACTTAAAAAGTCAGAGGTGCCTTCAGTTTGGACCACTGTAGCCATCGACACATTTCATAGGCAGATTCTGAATTACAGAATGCTTTAGAGGTTCCCCAGACTGTTTTCAGTTGCTCAGGTATGTGGTTCTAACTCTGGCAAAGTGCTCAAAATGCTGTAGTATATTGCATCATTTCTGTGGTGTCTGGGATTTCCTATATAACAGACACAGGAGAATATGGTTTGTCATTGAATGGAAGGCACTAAGAGTGAGATCATGGCCAGTATTGATCTTGTGTGTTTCTACTGAAAGCCTCGTAGCATTAAATGAGCCTTGACCGTGTGTCTTGGGATTCCAGTCTTCTCCAGCAGGAGCAGCATTGATTTAAGACAATGATTGGTGTATTCAAAGTTGGCACTTAGCCCATCTTGAAACAAAGAGAAGAAATCACCTGTTTTAGTTCTCCCTCCCCCTGGAATAAGAGTCACGTGGAAGGCCTAATCATTTGTTTTCATTGACTGTTACTGTATTTTAGAAAGGGTAAAAAGGACAGACTGTACTAAAATAAAGAGACCTTGCAGAGTTTAATCAGAAGTCTACCATTCGCCCAGACCCTCAGGGTATTTTATAATTTTCCCCAAAGTTGCCCTATTTGAGTCCTTACATAAGTAAATGTGAAATCAACTTCAGGTTTCAGGCCCATGAGTTTATTTTATTATTTTTCTTTCTTTATTTTTATTTTTTTGAGATAGGGTTTCTCTGTGTAACAGCTCTGGCTGTCCTAGAACTCCCTCTGAAGACCAGGCTTGCCTTGAGCTAACAGAGATCTGACTACTTCTACTTCCTGAGTGCTGGGATTAAAAGTGTGCACCACCACCACCTAGCTGAGATTATTTTTCAATGCATTTTAATCTTGGTTGGGGATGAACAGGCACACATGGGTCTCAGCTATTCCCATGGCACGTCCTTGATCCTTCCACTTTGTACTTAGATTGGATTCCTTCTGTAGAGCAGCTGAACAGTTTCCCTTGAGGTGGATTTTGAGGGGAAACAGTCCACAATGACTTTCTCACTACAAACAATATGATTCTGCAGTGTAGGTTGCCCTATCAACTGTGAAAAGGTGATTGTGTGAGACCCTGGCAGCTTCTGAGCAGAGATGAGAAACACATGAAGGTAGGAAGGCGAGGATGCTTTGCAGAGCAAGTTAAGCCAAGTTCTGTGTTTGTGCATACTGGCATCCAGGGACAACAGTACACAATCCTGCCTCAGCTCCGGGCTTTCACACTGGTCCTGCTGCACTGCAGCAAATTATACTTGTTTTATTTCCCAGGAAATGCTGAAAAATAAGCAGAAACCCAAATCCTTCTTACTTAAGTGACGGTGTTTTCTTTTGAGGAAAATAGTTTCCTTTTCTATACAGAATTAGGAAGAAACGCTGGCCCCTCATTCTCTTAGTGACTTGGAAGAATCACCATGACCAAGGAAACTTATAAAAGACAGAGTTTATTTGGGGCTTACAGTTTCAGAGGGTGAGTCCATGACCATTACGGTAGGGATCATGGCAGCAGGCAGGCAGGTATGGTGCTGGGGCGTAGCTGAGAGCTTACATTTTGAGAAAACGATGAGGCAACGAGAAGGACAGCTAGCTGGGAATGGTGTGGCCTATTAAAACCTCAGAGCCCACACTCAGTGACACACCTCCAACAAAGCCATACCTCCTCATCCTTCCTAAATATTTCTACCAACTAAGCATTCAGATATATGAGCCTATGGGGCCATTCTCATTTCAATCACCCACCCCACAACCTTCCCATTAACTCTCAGGCTTCTTTCCATTGGTAGGGAGTGAGGGTGGTGGTGGTATTTTATGCTCCCCCCAAACAATTGGGTTTAGCTTAGGAGCTTTCTGATATTTTTACTTATGCATATAGGTATTTAAATTTGCATATCTTTCTACTTTCCACAATCTTTGTTTGTTTGTTTTTTGAGACAGGGTTTCTCTGTGTAGTCTTGTAGACCAGGCTAGCCTCAAACTCACAGAGGTCCACCTACCTCTGCCTCCCAAGTGCTGGGATTAAAGGTGTGTGTCACCACTGCTGGGCACTACTTTCCACAATTTTGATACAATATTTCTGTGTGTGTTCTTTATAGAGTATTTTCTAAGTTCATTATTTAGAAGTTCTTTTTAAAGTCATGTGTGTTTGGGAAGATAAGTTGCCTCACTGATTTTCCCCTGCTTGTGTTGTGATTGTTGTATGGCACAGACTTCCAGATGTGTTAATATATGTTCTGTGATGATATGCTGGTACCAGATTCCACAAATATTCCACATGTCTGTTTGATTATTCCTATTGGTTCAAACTAGTCCTATCCAATCTGCACAGTATATGCTGCATGATTTATTTTGTTGCATGAACTACCAGTTTGGGCTTTTTAAGTTTTTGGAGATTGGCATCCCACTGTGTGGCCCAGGCAGGCCATGTCCATTGTGTTGTAAATCCTATAGTGAAATCTTGAACATGGTAAATATCGAACAGTAAGAACACAGGCTATTTTTGTATTTATCACAGCTCTTTTAGGCATAAGTAACAGAAACTCAGCTTCAGCTGGCTTCAGTAAAAATGACAGTTCGTTAACTCAGCTAGATGAGAAATCCTGGAGTTCCCTGTTTGAGTGTAGCTGGATCCATATAGTCAAGAAAGGATATTAGAGTCAGTCACTTTTAATCTTGTTTTTGTGGGAACTTAATCCATTTAGCCAATGACTTTGGGGGTGACTAGCCCTATGGGTGTGGCTTTCTCTGAGTACATGACAGATAAACTGAGGAAGGGTTCATGTGCCCTCTCTCTTGGTGTGGTTGGAGCCGGAGCAAGAGCAGTTGGTGCTCTTCCCCCTTGGGCAGAACCGCTGAATGAAGTCAGCTGAATCACTAGCAGCATCTGCTTTGTTCTGTATTCATGAGTTTGTCTTTTCATTGCAACCCTTAATAAATTGGTGAATAGACTTTTGTGGGTTCTCACTACATATGGCACCCAACATGGGGTCCAAACCCATGGCCCTGAGATTAAGAGTCTCATGCTCTACTGACTGAGCTAGCAGGGCCAGTGGCATGCTGGAAGTGCCCTGGGGCAGGTCGCAACAAGCTGTGGGGTTCAGCGAACAGAGCATCTGCTGCTGAAAGGGACCTAAATGCTGACAGGCCACACAAGGCAAAGGGCTCCAGCAGGCCATGTGTACTATCCCTTTTGCTTTGGAGACATCCTCATTAGTACTTTGTCCTATAGGTTACAAAATGTTCTTAAGCAATCCTGGTCAGAGAGAGCTTCCCTCTTCCAGTCCAGTAGCAGTGGGACCAGTGGCATTTGTTGGTCACCTGTACCTGACCACCTGTACTTGACTGGGTGTGGTCACTCTGTCCATCTCTGCTGAGTTCATTTGACTAGGTGTGATGCATGCTCACGGACCTGGAGGTGGGATTGGGTCAGCTCTGGTCAAACCACCCTCCTAGAGCTAATGATAGAGAGGGTAGTTCTCTGAGGAAAATCTGGAACTCAGGCAAGGGAAGCAAAACAAATGTTCACATCATCAGTCTAATTTCTGGTCCCTTTGCTGCTCATTGCAGGATAGTGTTGAGTTTAGAAACATCTGCAGTCATCTGGCTCTGCAAATTGAAGGACAACAGTTCGACAGAGACTTGAATGCTGCGCACCAGTGTCTGAAGACGATAGTGAAGAAGTTGATCCAGTCACTTGCTAATCTCCCTTCGGACGCCCATGTGGTTGCCTGTGCTTCCTTGAGACAGATCTTACAGAATCTCCCAGATGTATGAGCGTGAGAGTCAGCCAGACTACTGCTGGCCCTGCTGAGAGAACTGGATCCTTCACCTTCCTAAAAAATTAGCAGTGATGGGTGTTTATATTCCCCAAAACACTTGATAGTTCATATCTAAGTCTGACCAAGAGCGCCTGTAGCCTTCAGCATGATAGCATGGCGAGTGCACATATTTTTAAAGTTGTACTGCATATTTTTTAAGTATGTTGACTTTCTGCTGATTTTCTGACTGAAATATAGTTCTCTTTGTGGAGAAAATTGGAGAAAATATATATATCATATTAAGCATTGGTTTTGACTGAATGATATTTGAACCTATATTTGTATTATTGTGGGCTATAAGGCTTAATACAGATGTATATATTAGAAGGACCATGGCTCTTCACATTATTGTGAGTGAATGGGACATTTAGTGACTGACATATTCTGTTTGCTGGGCACTTCATTATAGGCAATGACAGTGCTCTTTAGTTATAGAATTACAGGTGTCAGTCATTGTGAGTCATTTGCAAGTTAGCACTGGGCAGAGGAGCTGCTTCTAAGCCTCATACCACTATATACTGATCTGTATATTTAAAATGATAAACTACGGGTGTACCACGCTTATGTAAATACAAGTACATACTATTAAAATATCAATGTGGAACCATCTAGCTTCTCTTACAGTTTCTAAACATTCCAATAGGAAATAAGAAAGTGCTGCAAAAAAGAATGAGGGGGTGGGCGCTCTAGCCATTCTCATTGCAGAAGGTGGTCTCTGTTATTTTTAGTAACAATTATCTACACATGCGTTCTTTTGTTCAATGATGACTATTCCTGGAGCTAAAAAGGGCCTTCCTGCCTATGCTGTGCAAGTCTGTGGTGGAAACAGCACCAGGTTAGGAGGTGGAAGATCACAGTGGATATGAATGGCTTGCTTTAGAAAAAATTAATAACTGGGCCTGTGTGGTGAGGTGTATCTGTCTAAAATAAGTGTTAGTAATAAGCAAAGCCTCTTTGGTTGAAAAGATTTTTTCACACAATATATTCCCATTTCCCTCCCTCATCTCCTCCCAGATAAAACAAAATCAGAAACCATATTATACAAGCAAAAGACCAATACGATAAAAAACCCAAACAAAGAAATATGAGGCAAAAAACCCTCCGAAAATACCATTGAGTATGTTATGTGCGGCCACCTACTGCTGAGCATGGGACCTGCCATTAAGTGTGGTTTATATCGGTGAGACTCCGTGGGAGAAAGCCAACTTTTCCTTTGTAAGAAACTGTCAGTTGAAGATAGTTTCTTGGTTAGAGATGTGATCTTCTGTCCACTCCCCTCTCTCTGTGTTAGTACCCCATCTGACTTGGTCCTGTGTAGAGACTGTGCATGCTGCCACCATCTCTGCAAGTTAATATCTGGTCAGTTCTGATGTGTCTGGAAGACACTCTTTCCTCGGAGTCATCCATTTCCTCTGGTTCTTAAAATCTTTTCCCCTCCTCTTCCACATATTTCCTCAAACTTTGAGTGGAGAGGTTTGATGAAGGCATGCCACTTAGGAACAAGTGTTCCAAAGTCTCTTCCTCTCTGTACATTTTCTAGTTGTGTGTCTCTGTATTATTCCCATCTACTACAGGAGGAAGCTTCTCTGATGATGGCTTAACTAGACACTGGTCTATAGGTATAGCAGAATGTTGTTAGGAGTAATTTTATTGCTATGTTCCTTCAGCAGAACAGTAGTATTTGGTTTTCCCCTAGGTTCTTGGTTTATCTAGTTTCAGGTTCTTGGCCACCCAAGCAGTAACAAGTGTGGGTCCCATCTCATGGAAAGGGACTTAAATCTAATCAGATAGTGGTTGGTTACTCTCACATCTTTTGTGCTACTATTACTCCAACACATCACACAGTTAGGTCACATTGTAGATTACTGGATTTGTGGCTGGGTTTGGCATTTACTTTTCTCCTCTAGTAGTGTGCAGGGTACCTTCCAGTGTCATGAAAACTAATCAGTAGGGTTGAAGGCTCTAGTAAGGCATCAGATTCATTTCCCCATGTTCAGTGAGATATGTAAGTGTTGTTTCAGCAATAGAGCCTTACCATCTGTATGTGAAGAGCAACCAACAGCCTTGACAATAGTTTGAGTGGTTTGGAAGTTTCCATGGAGCCCCTTTGGCCAACAACTTAATTTGATGTAACCCATTCCTGGCACCTTTCACTTGGTACAAAGAAATGTCTAGATGGGGCTCCCCTGCACCTGTTATTTGGTGACTCCATTTAGATTTATTTCATATGTGTATAAGTTTTAAGAAACTTCTACTATAGCAGGCTTCTATATGCCGTCTCCTCAAATGGCCTCTAGTATTAGCTATCTTTCCCTGTATTTCCTTCTTTATTTCCTTCTTCCCTCTCCTGTTCTGTTTAATTCTCTCATTCCAGTCTTCCCCATCTCTCCATGTAGTGGTTTGAAAGAAAATGGCCCCCATAGGCTCATAGTGGCACTATTAGGTAGTGTGGCCTTGTTAGATTACGTGTGGCTTTGTTGGAGGGAGTGCACACTAAGGGGTGAACTTTTTGAGGTGTCAGAAGCTCAAGCCAGTTTGCTTCCTGCTGCCTGTAGATCTGGATGTAGCTCCATGTCTGCCTGCATGCTGTCATAGTTCCTGCCATGATAATGGACTAAACCTCTGAACTATAAGCCAACTCCAATGAAATTTTTTCTTTCATAAGAGTTGCCATGATCATAGTGTCTCTTCACAGCAATAAAACCCCAACTAAGATACCCCATAACTATATATTCAATTTTCTCTTCTTTGAGAGATTCTTTCCTCCCCTCTAGTCCCTTATTATGTAATTAACCTCTGAGGTTATAGGGCTTGTATCATGAAAATTGAAGGCTTAAAAGTTAACATTCACATGTAAGAGAATACATACCATATTTTCGTTTTGGGGTGTGAGTTACCTTACTTAGGATGATTTTGTTCTAGCTCTGATAATCTGTCCATGAATTCCCCGATGTTTTTTAAACAGCTAACTAATATTCCATTGTGTAAACATACCACATTTTCATTATCCATTCATCGTTGATAGACATCTAGGCTGCTTCCAATGTCTGACTATTAAAAATAGGGTAGCAATGAATTTAGATGAGAAAGTGTCTCTGTAGTAAGGTATAGTATATATTATTTGGATATATGCACAGGAGTGTGTGCTGGCTAGGTTTATGTCAGCTTGGCACAAGCTATAGTCATCTGAGAGGAGGGAACCTCAATTGAGAAAATGCCTCTATAAGATTGGGCTGTAGGCAAGCCAGTAGTGCCTTTTCTTAATTAACGATGGATGGGTGTCCTAGTTAGGGTTACTGTTACGGTAATGAAACACCATGACCAAAGCAACTTGTGGAGGAAAGGGTTTATTTGTCTTACACTTCCAAATCACTGTTCATTATCCAGGGAAGTCAGGTCAGGAACTCAAGCAGGGTGGGACCCTGGAGGTGGGAGCAGATGCAGAGGCCATGGAGGGGTGCTGCTTACTGGCTTGCTTCTCATGGGCTTGCTCAGCCTGCTTTCTTGTAGAACCCAGGGCCACTAGTGTAGGTGAAAGTGTTCTCTAAGCAACTTGGAGAGGAAATCCAAACAAACCCTTTCTTCTCCAAGTTGCTTTGGCCAAGATGTTTTATCACAACATAGAAACCCTAACTAAGGCAAAACAGCAGTAGAAACTCTAAGACACACAGTTTCTTTCCAAAGTGGATTGGCTTCCTCAATTTAAATGATGGTCTTCGGTGGATAGGCATCCATTGAGATTCTTGTGTTAGACAGAATATTGGACTGCAGGCATCAAATCTTCCATGTCTTAAAATCCCTCTCAACAGTTGGCCCCTTTCCATGTTTCTTCCTTCTCTAGTGCCAGATCTGCATGCAGTAAACCTATCTGAAATGATGATAAATCCTGAGGCTCCGTGTGTTTCAAGACAAGTGATTCTTCAGAACTCAACTAAGAAGTTGAGTATCACCTGGGGGCTCTTCATTGGGAGCACAGTGTTCCATGTCATGGCCAAAGACTCACCACAGTCCTGGCATTGCTAACCCCATGTTACTTCCTATAGAAATGCTCATGTCTGCATAGTGCTCACTGTCCTAAGTCAGGGGACACTTCCAAGCCTAGAAGAAACCTCTCCTGTCACAGAAGCGTCACTAATTGCCCCCCCCTCCCCGCCGGCCTTGATGAAAGTTATAGTGATCATGGTTTCACCTTCATTTTTTTAAAGATGAACTAGGAAATGTCTGTGGAGTGTAAGGGTATCTGGCAGAAAAACAAAATCCCAGTGAGCCCAGAAACAAGTTGCAAAAAACAGTTTTGGCCGAAGTTGGTACAAAGAGGAGATTCTGCAAAGGCTCTTTCCCTCCTCATGTGTGGATGTAGCTCAGAATGTAACTTGAGAGTGTTGAGTACAGCACAAGCTTGGAAAACACAGAGAGAGAGGGAGAGGGGGTGGGAGAAGAGTGCAGCGCTTGGAGGGAGGGTAAAAAGGGCTGCAAGTATACAGAGGAGCCTGGGACTGTAACCAAAACATGAAGAATGCAGTAAAGTAATTTGGGAAACATGAGTGTTAAGAGTGCCATCATCTCCCTTCTGGGCTCATTACATGAGCTTGGTTGGTTTCAGACTTGCTCTAATGCAAAGCATCATGATAGCACTTTCTAATGGCCTGGAAACCCTGGTGCCACGAGGGCTCTTGGAAAAGCAATCACAGGCAAGTCTCCAAGCTAGTTTTCAGTCTTCTCTCATCTCTTAATCCTCAGTCTTCTCCCAGCCCCTCTCTGTCTCTTGGAGCGTTTTGCAGGGAATTGTAGCCAAAGGCATTCATAAGACTGAATTGCATTATGATTTTCATGTCTAAATATTCTTTTATGCATAAGTAAAGTTAACAGATGTTGGTCTCTGGTTCTTTTCCTTCATTTTCCCACCTATTCTCTTGCCCTGCTGCCCAGTCTCAGGTTTCATGGGATTTGCTATGA